TACCCTGTGCTGTTTCTAACTGTAATGTTGCTAGGCAACTTTTGCAGAATCCACAGGCTTGTGGTAATGTTGTAATAACTGAGTGAAAATTTTGCCTCTGGGTATTGGGAGAACAAACTTAACCTGTTTATCTCCTTTAGACTGATGATTTAGCAAGTAAAAGGCTTTTTCATGCCACTGTTGTCAGCCTATTCACCTTCCTTAGCAGCAAAATAAGCAAGATTCCTGCCCTGAAGATTTATAATTGAGAGTCCTAAATCACCTTCTCAAATACTTTTTTCTTAATAAATTTATTTATTTTATTTATTTTTGGCTGCGTTGGGTCTTCGTTGCTGCATGTGGGCTTTCTCTAGTTGCAGCGAGCGGGGGCTACTCTTCATTGCGGTGGGTGTGCTTCTCATTGCGGTGGCTCCTCTTGTTGCGGAGCACAGGCTCTAGGTGCGCAGGCTTCAGTAGCTGTGGCACGAGGGCTCAGTAGTTGTGGCACATGGGGTTAGTTGCTCCACGGCATGTGGGATCTTCCCAGACCAGGGATCAAACCCGTGTCCCCTGGCAGGCGATTCTTAACCACTGTGCCACCAGGGAAGTCCTCAAATACTTATAATATATACAGCACATAAATATATGTGCATATTCTCATTAACATAAGCCATGAACTTTTGAATGAAAAGTCCTTCAGAACTAGGACCTAATTTTTCACAGTGATGTAAAGTCTCTAGGAATGTTTGTTAAGACTAGCCAGATTTTACCCAAAGCTGAATCATTTCCAGATTATGTTTTTGATTCTGGAGAAATAATAACTTTTTCTAAAGAAGAGCCTACTCTGATAGATATCTAATTTTTTTAAAAAGCCATGTTGGTCAAATCTGTTTTTCACTTAAAAACCAAATAATATGCTAAAAAAGTTAAACTGTCTTTCTTCATCTTGCTTAATATCTTTACCTATCTCCTTCTGCTGGTTCTCTCAGCAAACCTCATCTCACTTCAACCCAGCTCTGTTACGAACTGCTGGTTGGTCCCAGGAATCCAGTTCTCAGGCTAGAATGTGGTAACTCCTACCACTGCTCCTGTTTGACTTCTCAGGTATAGACTAGATTTCTTTACTTTGTCACTTGCCTTAATACCCTCTGATGGATGACACTGTTTGACCATTTCACCACATGTTCATCAGCTTACTCTGTTACAGAATAATCAAATCCAGTTCCTCCTTAGTTGTTCAATGGATTAAATGTGAGACTAGCATTGTCCCTTACGAATAGTGTTCAATAAATGTTATGTGTGCTTTTACTTATAAGAGTGTTATTCGAGAATATTCATACTTGTTAATGGCTTTATACTCAGTAAATGCAACATGTGATTCCTGGTGTCACCAAAATAAGTTTGCTTAACATGGATCAACAGTTAAAGTTTGTGTACAACCAGCAAGGATAATCAAATCAGAACAGAGATAGTATTGATAAGAACTTGAGAAGTATAGCTAGGGAAGAGTGACCAGTTGAAAGCTTCTATTTTAATGAAATGAGCATAATTTATTTTCATGCCTAATGACTCTTTAAGGATTACTAACATACTATTTTCATTTATCCTTCTGACATTTATATAAGATCAAGGGAAGATTTCATTACATGCAATTATATAGATTATGTACAAAAACTTTGAGGATCTAAGATTCTCATTCAGTTTTTTTTTTTTTTTTTTTTGCGGTGCGCAGACCTCTCACTGTTGTGGCCTCTCCCATTGCGGAGCACAGGCTCTGGACGCGCAG